AACATAAATGTAACATAATCCACCCCCGAGCATGATTAACCCTGCCACATAAATATACGCTCGTCACCTCATATATGTATCACCCCAGCATGTAGCAAACAATGATAAGAGAAAAAATTCTCTCAACAAAGTTAGGCAAAACACTTACCTCAATTCGGCTAACTCAACACTCAATCTAGCCTTTTTCCTTTACAAATTCGCCTTCGTCCGGGTCAATCTAGCCAACGACGACTTGAATACATCACACAATGCAAGAGCAAATAATTCCAATTAATAAAGCTGTGATTTTTATTAAATTTTTAAAAAGTCAACAAAAGTCAAACCCCGGGCTCGCCGGTCAAAACCCGGATCCAAGGGTAGGTCTTGACTACCCATAGCCTCACGAGTCCAAATATATATTTTGTTATCAAATCCGAGTCCTATTCGACTCTCAAATCCCAAATTTTCATTTTTCAAAACTTTGATAAAATTCCCAAATTTTTCCATAGATTTCTCATGAAGTTGATGTTAAATCTTATATAAAATCATGAAATATAGTTGAGAAATGATTAAAGATACTTACCAATGATTTGGTATGAAAATCCCATCACAAAATTGCCTCTCATCGAAGCTAGGGTTCAAAATATAACAAAATGAAGCTAAGTCTCGGAATTCTCAGCTATTAACAGGTTGCAGATGTCGCATTTTGCGAACCCCGCAAATGAGAACATATAATCGCAAATGCGAACTGGAGGCTTTCCTGCTAAGGTCTCATTTGCGACCAGAACTTCGCAAATGCAAAGCCCATAGTCTCGTAAAAGCGGTAGGGTCATTGCAGTTGCGGACAACCCCACATCGCAAATGCGATGGGTTTCTTCGCAAATGCGAATCTACTCCAGCAGCCCAATCTTCCAAATGCGAAGGATGCTTCGCAAATGCAACTGTTACATCTGCGACCAAAACATCGCAAATGCGATGATACCAGAACCAGCAAAGATTATGAAAAATCATTCCGAAACCAATTCGAAACTCACCCGAGCCTTTGGGCTCCAAACCAATCATGCACCCAGGTCCAGAAACACAACACAAACTCGCTCGCACGCTCAAATCATCAAAATAACTTCAAAAACCACGAATCGGACGCCAAAACGCTTGAAGATCAAACTAAACTTCAAGAACTTCTAGAATCGCAACCGAGCGTCCGAACCATATCAAATCAACTCCGAATGGCGCCAAATTTTGCAGACAAGTTGCACATGCCAAAACGAACCTACTCGAAGCTTCAAATCACGCATAATAACCTCGAAACGATGAATCACACCTCAAGTCGAAATCAAAGAACTTTAAAACTTCAACTTCTACAACCGATGCTGAAACCTATCAAATCACCTCCGATTAACCTCAAATTTTGCACACAAGTCACATTTGCCCTTACGGACCTATTCGAACTTCCGAAATCGGAATCCGACCCCGATATCAAAAAGTCCACTCCCGGTCAAACTTCTAAAAAATCCAACTTTCGCCATTTCAAGACTAATTCAACTACGGACCTCAAATTTACAATCCGGACGTGCTCCTAAGTCCAAAATCACCCAACAGAGCTAACGGAACTAACGAAACTCCATTCCGAGGTCAAATACTAAAAAGTCTAACTTGGTCAATTCCAACTTAGAACTTAAATCTTGAAGTTCATTCTTCCAAATTGATTCCGGATAACATGAAAACCAATACCGACGATTTACGCAAGTCATAACACATCATGCGGAGATACTCGAGCCCTCAAAATACCGAGTGAAGTGTAGATACTCAAAATAATCTGTCGGTTAGTTACAATTTCAGATCTGAAATTTTATTTATCGAAGAAATCCAATAGGTGTCGATTAATATTGGTGAAATTATTTAGGGTGCAGATCATCCTAGATTTTGTGATCCATTTGGTGATGCCTTTGACCCATTTCCAAAATTGAAATTTCGGAGTTTGTTAGTTATTTCGATTGAGTGTTGTTCTAATCGACTAGAATCATCAAGAGAAGTTTAAATCTTAAATTTGAAATAATTTAGAGTAGATTTAAGTTAAATTTAAGAATATGCTCAAGGAAGAATACGAAGTCAGTTTTTGTATAATAGTGTATATAGGTGTATAAATACCTGTTATACACGTTTATACACCTATACACATAATATATATGTCTTGTATAAAAGTGTATAACATTGTATAAAAATGTATAAGCGTCTGCAGGCGAACTTCTTTTATGAATTTCAGTTGTAATTTTCATCCAAAATCAATCCAAATCTCCATCAAATGACTTCAAATTTTGTAAAAAACCTCCTTAGATTATTTCTAACAAGTCTAAATGATACTCTCAGCAAAATTTCTCACAATATCAGTTTCGAAATTTTAAAAACCACTTATTTAAACTTTTGTTCAATAGTGGCGAGTTACTTTAAAAAACTAATTTTTATCACCTAAATAGATTTGATTTATTGAACTAATGTTTGAGTCACAATCATTGATTTGAAGATTGAGTTAGAATTTTGAAATTTAAAAAGATTGCAATTTCAAGAACCTATTTGGAATTAAATATTGAATTTTGACCGATTATTTTTGGGGTTACAATTTTGCAAAGTTATATATAGGGCTACCTAATTATATTGTATGTGCGTGGACTGTATTAATGTGTAATTTTCTGATATAAAAAGTCTCCTTGGTGAGGGTAGTTCTTTTACCAAAAAGTAAACAGTGTGCATAGCCTTTTATATTCCATTTCCAATAGTTTAAAATATTTTTGTCTCTTTTCTCTTATAAAAGATAATAATAGCCTAGTAAAATAAAATACTCCCTATATTTCTGATTATGTAAACCTTTTCATTTTTTGAGATTCTAACTATATGTGTTATGACCAATATTTTAAAATATTTTTTTTATATTGACATGAAAAGAAATGCAGCTTATAATAGTCATTGTATATTTTTAGAATATTTAAGTGTTAACTTTAAAATATCGAGTTAATATAATTCAATTTAATTTTAATTTTTAATCAAATTGAGTCTCAAAAAGATAAAAAGTTCTTGTAAACGAAACAGAGGGAGTACTCATTATCCTACTTTAATGATTTACAGCACTCAATTTCAGGCAATACTTATCGGAAAATATACTAATTAAAGTGATAGTAGATGGTTACTCTTAACACAATCTACTTTAATGCAGCTCTTATGACAATTTAATTGCGTTTCTACATCAGATTCAGTAACACCATGGACTCATAGCATTCTCCACCCATGACCCACCCCCAAAAAGATGAATAATCCTTTTGCACGATGACTGGAATCAACAGTAATTAAAAATGATTATGGATCATTTCATTTCATTATCCTACGTTTGGTGGCAATCGTTATAGATTTACAGTAATTAAAAAGATTCATTACCTGTTCTTGTAAAATAATTTTCCCTCGAAAAATATCAGTAACTGGGGTGATGATTATTGTTATCATGAATTAATTGCACCATATATAGAAAAAATTATCTTTCTGTTATGAGGGTTAGCTGGCGCATTGTTAAAAACTCGATAATGAGTCCGTCTCTCTACCCTTATCAACTTAAATACGAGGTTCTTGTTCTCATCAGAAGGGCATCTTTGTTGTTGAGTTAGTTTATCCAATGATCAGCTAATCCCGGTATTGCTATTCCATATTGAATGTGATACAAATAATGCCAAAATTATGATATAAATAGTCCCGATTGCTTATCCTAAAGTCGGACATTCCAACAAAACGCGAGATAAAATAATATGATATTTGTATTTTTTTTAAAATTATTTTTGTTTATATCCATGATAGTAAATGACCCGTAAAGTGAAGAAAAATAGATGGGTAGGTAGGGTTGAGCAGGGGTGTCACCGGCTCGGTTCGGCCGGTTCTTTTGTTAATTTTGTACCATACCAATTTCTCGGTTATTCATTATGTATAACCAAAATTAGACTTTTCGAAACCGTCCCAATTATATCGGTTTCTCTTCGGTATCGGTACGGTTCGGTTAAGTTTCGGTATTTTTTAAAATGTCATGTAAAAGTCACTAGTAGAAGTAGAATGCAATAATATACATACTTTTATAGGACTTAGCAAAACTCTCTAGACATTTTACATTTTAAAGGGTGATGAATTAAGAAAATATGAAAGATGGCTAGAGTATAGATCCATCAACTACTCTACAATAGCGTAAAAGAAACTAAACAAATTAATGTAAAGAAAATATGAATCACACGAATGGAAAGATATTAACCAAACTGGGACTGGAACTCAAGAATAAAGTCTATAGAAGATTAAATATTCAAAAAGATAAATTTAAATCATATGAAAGGAAATATAATCAATACATTGTAGATTGCTACTCATAATCACTATAATGCCTTTGTGTCTTGCCAGTGAATATGTTGGAAATAATTTATTTTCGATTGGTGTAGCATAATAGGTTTGAGAATTATGATTTTGCGTTTATTACTTGTTGGCTTGTAATTGTTTTCATAATTCCAAAACCCAAGAAAATTTAATGTTTTATTATTTTTAAACTTAATATATAAATATATTTTTCACATATAAATTTATTCAGTGCGGTTCGGTATTTTTTTGGTTTATTTTCATTAACTAATAAATCTAACCTAATTATCGGTACGGTTATAGATTTATATAAGAACCTACGGTTCTATTAAAAGAAACCTAAGAATCGGTTCGGTACGGTACAGTTTGGTCGGTTTAGTCGGTTTTTAAGTATCCATTGACACCCTAGGGTTGAGCTCTTTTTGAAGAGAAATAATAATGCAAATGTCCAATGAGTGATTAGACAAATTACCTAATTAGTGAATTCTCTGCAATATTAAAACTTAAATCCATAAATAAATATATACTAATAGAATCCTTACCTTTTCCTTCACCTCACACCTTTCCCCCAAAAAGAATGGGTATTTTGTCCATATTAGCACCATTCTAAACAAACATAGCGTTTTAAATCCCATGTTTCTCCCCCCACCCGTTCTCTCTCACACAGACACACAGTAACATTACACAGCACAAAGCCTATTTCACACTCTTCCTCCTCCTTATAAATATGAATGCCCCACAAAAGTCATTCTTAGAAAATGGCATCCTCTTTCTCTTTTCTCTTTCTTGCTTTATTTCTTCTTTTTCTTTCTTCTCCTGCTCTTTCGTCCAATAATGACGATGAGTTTGTCCTATCTTCTACTAAATTCCCTGTACCAATGGCAGAAAAACTTATCAATCAACTGAACTTATTCCCTAAGCATGATATCAATAAGGTTGAACCAGGGAAATCTGTAGCAACCACTGAGCAGAGACTATTTGAGAAGAAATTCAATTTATCTTATCTTGGTGATTCTGGAGCCACTGTTCAAGACTTGGGTCACCATGCTGGTTATTTTCGTCTTCCACATACTAAAGATGCAAGGTATGAATATTATTAATCGTTTAAATTATATGACTGACAGTATTAAGATTGTTTACTCCACCAACACAATTTAATCAATCATAGCAATTTACGTAATAATCTAGTTTTCAGGTTACCATATCTGATATAAAAATGTTATTTGTTGTTATAAGTAACATAAAACTAGATTACTGATAATTGGTTTTTGTTATTCTTTTTGCTTTGTTTTGATTTAAAAAAAAATGAAATCTTGGTAGTATTCACTATTTTGATTTTTTTTTTTTAATTTTGGTGTTTTGCAGGATGTTTTATTTCTTCTTTGAATCAAGAAGCAGCCAGAATGATCCAGTTGTTATATGGCTAACAGGAGGGCCAGGATGTAGCAGTGAATTGGCTGTGTTTTATGAAAATGGACCTTTCAATATAGCAGACAATATGTCACTTGTCTGGAATGATTTCGGCTGGGACAAGGTTCTTGTTTTTCCTTCCTTCTTTTTCTTTTTCTTTAAACATTCCCGTTTGGCCATGAATTCTTTTTTATTTTTTTCGAAAAATTTTCAATTTTTTTTTTCGAAATCAGTGTTTGGCCATAAAATTTTCAATTTTCATTTAGAAGAAGAATTTTGGAATTTTTCGAAAATTTGAAAAAGTCCAAGAAGCCGTTTTTCAAAATTTTCAATCAGATCACATCACAAAAATTAAAAAACAACCCAAAATTATATTCATGTCCAAACGCAACTCTAATTTTCAAATTTGAATTTTTCCTCCCACTTTTTCCGGAATTTTACAATTCTTACGTCCAAACGCCCACTAAGCCAATTTATTTCAAGATGCGTCAACACTGATTCAAAGATCACTGTTTTAAAAAAAAAAATATAAGGTTAGATCTTTTAAATATTATGATGAGAATATACTCAATTTTACTAAGATGTTATTCAAAAGAATTTCTATCATGCAAAGTATATTTTCACCTACCTGCTGTTTGTTAGTTGGGACTAGTAGAATTTTACATGTTCAAAAGGGATAAAGATTTTTCTTTTTTTCTTGTTTCTTGATTAACGGTTGAGACTTTGAACAAAACTTTCCAACTTTTTGCTTTCTCTTCATTTACACGTAAAGTCCCTGTGAACCTGTTCATCTTAAATATTTTTTCCAACACCGACAGTGTCCTAATCACTTTATTTGCTTTCATTTTCCTGAATAAGTAAGATTCCTCTCCTCGAATTTCTGATAGATTTCTTGATTGAAGTAGCTTTTCAGTATCAATTATTTGCAAGATATGACCATAATTGAAAATTTTGAACTGCACTCGGTGAGTTCGAATTAAGCAAACCAATGGATTTCGAATATCAAATTGTTAAACTGATTTTTATTTTTATTTTTATTTTTTAATTTTTGAAATGCTTTGATTCGCTTTTGATTGTTAAGAATGATAATATGGAGTTTAATTGCAATTTGATAGGTCTCAAACCTAATATACGTGGATCAGCCAACTGGAACTGGTTTTAGTTACAGTTCTGATGAGGATGATATTCGTCACGACGAAAGGGGTGTAAGCAATGATCTTTATGATTTCTTACAGGTGTGTTACTCTGTTTTGCCTTCTCATTTTAAACCTCTAAATTTTGACTAGTATTAATATTATAATAATTTGAATAATGTCATTCTAGCTTCCAATTTAAAGTAAGAAACCTTATCTGTTTTTTTTTTTTTTAATTACTAGGCCTTCTTCAAGGCGCATCCACAGTATGAAAAGAATGATTTCTACATCACTGGAGAATCATATGCTGGGCATTACATTCCTGCATTTGCTTCTCGGGTTCATCAAGGTAACAAGAACAAGGAAGGAACTCACATAAACCTTAAGGTATTTATAACTAATTAGTCCATCTTCTATCTTTTTCTCTCCTATAAATTCTTTTCTTTTCTTCTCTTCTTTTCCTTTTGCCAATTCTCAATCACTAACTCTTTTGCACTTGTTATGCTCCTAATTGCGCGAATTATATTTGATTAGGGATTTGCTATTGGTAATGGACTCACTAATCCAGAAATTCAGTACAAAGCCTACACTGACTATGCATTGGACATGAGATTGATCAAAAAAGCTGATTATAATGCCATAGACAAGTCATACCCAAAATGTCAACAGGCTATTAGGCTTTGTGGTATTTATCTCACTAAAACCCCACAATCTGTTTTCTTCATCCCATAATCCTTCATTATTCTTGACATCAACCGTGTCCTATGCAAAAAAACATTAGGAACTGATGGTGGAAGTGCATGCATGGCTGCATATCTTGTTTGCACAAGCATCTTCAACAAAATTATGGATGTTGTGGGTGACAAAAATGTAAGAAAACATAGTTTTTTTTCTTTCTCTCTCAGCTAATCATATTGTAACTAGGATCACATAGATTTCTAACCATAACATGTGTTAATTTGTTACCTTCGAGCTGCAGTACTATGATGTCAGGAAGACTTGTGATGGTGACCTCTGCTACGACTTCTCCAAGATGGAAACTCTCCTCAACGATGAACAAGTTAAGCATGCCCTTGGTGTCGGGGGTATTGATTTCGTTTCGTGCAGTTCTACAGTTTACCAGGCAATGCAGTTGGATTGGATGAGGAATCTTGAAGCTGGTATTCCTCCACTTCTTGAGGATGGCATCAAGCTACTTGTCTACGCCGGGGAATATGACCTTATCTGCAATTGGCTTGGTAAGCTTCATTCATTTGTGATCCAAAAGAACTAGTACAATCTTGAATTGGGAGAGTCCTAGATTATGTGCAGTCTATTTAAACCTACCAATCCACAGTGTGAGATGAGCTTAAATGGAGCGACCTTCAGAGAGGATTCATATAATTAACCTCAACTTGCTTGAGATTGAGGCATAGTTAGGGGCAGATATAGCTCTTAACCTGCAGGTTCATTCATACCGAGTATTTTAAATGTGGAACATAGATCCCTATATGATAACTCACTAAAATTTCAACAAATATTAGATCTGAACTCATAATTTTAAAAGTAAAATAAGTTCAGTGCTAAAAATCCTAAAGGTCTAACTCATCAAGGTTAAATCCTGCTAAATCCTTGATCCGCCTCTGGGCATAGTTGTTGTTATCCAGAACTAAAATATTTTTCCCTGTATGGACAGGGAACTCGAGATGGGTGCATGCAATGGAATGGTCCGGGCAGAAAGACTTTGGGGCAGCCCGATCCGTACCTTTTACAGTAGATGGTGAAGAGAAAGGAATTCAAAAGAACCACGGGCCTCTGACTTTCCTCAAGGTCCATGATGCAGGTCACATGGTTCCAATGGATCAACCTAAGGCAGCTCTGGAAATGCTCCAGAGGTGGATGCAAGGGAAATTGTCTAAGGAAGGTCACTTTGCTCATATGTAACTTCTTCAACTAATGAGCTACAATACAAAGATACAATAACAGTTTTACGAGTTCATATGTGGTTCCAGGAAATGATACTAATCATGTAAATACACTTCACCATTTCATGTTATCCTACACCTAGTTTGAGGAGAATGGTGTTCTTTCTGAGGTTACACTAAGCATTAAAATGTTGAAGAACCACAATCCAACTCTTTTAATTTGTTAATTTTACCCGACCTTGTGCATCAGGACAAACACTCCCATAGCATTAATCTCCGGTTAATAACCATGTCAAATATTTTGCATTTATAAATTCTCCTAGCATTTATTTGTCGTTCCCACTAATGACAAGTAGCATCACGCTCTAAAAATTTTAAGGGAAAAGAAAATGGCATGTAGGCAAAGAACTTAAATTTAACAAGTACTCATGGATATGCTTATCGCACAACACTAGTTTATAACATCTTCAACGGTTCTTTCAATTATTTGCAATCGGCTATATGAAAGGAGGGCTTAATAATGCTAGAGAGAACATAAAGGAAGCAATTCAGCCATTCTACATGCAGATTCACCAAGGGGTTAACGCTTTAGCCTTTACTGCACCTAAAAAACACATCATAACAATGCACAGTAACAGAAAGAAAAATCCTTTTTCAGACTCATGCTATGTAATAACACTTGAACAGAAAACAAAAATCTCAACAGCGCAACAAAATTTTCATTTTTCCCCTCTATGGTGATGCATCTTTTTCATTGTTCTGTATGGCTCAAGGATTATGAGTGAAGCACATTAATCTCGACATTTAAGAGGGAAAAGTTTATACAGTTTCTCTCAGTGAGATGGATAAATACACAGAAAATCCAGGGCTTATCAGCTAAAGGGTTGGAATTGATTCTACATAAAATAAATTGCCAAATAACCGCAGATTTACCATTTCTTAGCCCTCTCGTTTGGTAGGAGGTATTAGGAAAAATAATGAAAAGCATTAGCTTTGTGTATTACTAATAACTTGTTTGGTATATTTTTTCAACCTGTGTATAACAATACTTGCATTAGTTATACATTATACTTGGTATTATCCTATGTATAAGTAATGCATAGAAAACGATGACATTAGTAATACCAAGGCTATTAATGCATGCATTAGTATGGTTAAAGACAAAATTATCCTTAAAGCCCCTTAAAGCTAGAGAATATGGAGGGTATTTTTGTAAAACTAATTTTCTTAAAAATTATGCAATGCATTATAATTTTTAATACACCACACCAAACAGTAGATAAGAAATAATATCTGCATAATTAATGCTTTCATTACTAACTCATGCATTACTAATCCCTGCATTACTAATACACCTTATTCCGCACTATTCTTATACACCCTACCATACGACCCCTAAGAATCAAATAACATTGCACAAAAAAATGGACACATCTCTTTTCAGACCTCACATCATGTAATAACACAACAGCAGAAACTCATCCTTTCACCCCTCTGTAATAATGCATCCATATCATTGTGTGATTTTGCTCAAGCGGTTTCGCTAATTTTCCATAAATTTCATTCCTTAAAAACCCCTAAATCACAGGTTGCTTTGGTTTATATACTCTTGCTAGAAAAATTCTCAAATCTCAATAAAACTTCAACTTTATGGTATTGCATTTTAAAATTTTGTAGAACCAAAAAAATAACTAAATAAATAGGCCATTGGCTAAAGCTTGTTTAGAAAACTAACACTTTGTTTGGATCATTGTTCCCCATCGTTTTATAATGTATTGTATTGTATCGTATTGTACCGTATCGTTTTATGAATACAATGTTTGGATAGATTGTATTGTTTATTCTTGTTAAATAATATTTTGTTGTTTGGTTTGACTGTATCGTAATGTACTGTAACTGATAAGTTTACTAAAATACCCTCAATTATTTAAATATTAAATTTATCAAAAACAATGCATAAAAATAATTTTAAAAAACAAAACAGAAGAAGGCAAAACACAATAAAAAAAACAAAACAAAGGAGCGAGACACAAGAAGGCAAAACAAAGGAGCACAACTAATTAGAATTGAGTTACAAGCAAATTAGGAGAAAAAATAAAACAGAAGGCAGCAAAACACCTTTAACATTGGTCTGAAAAAAAAAAGTAGGTTATAAGTTGGGGATTTGGAGTTAAAATAGAAAAAAAGATAAAGTGTAAAATAGAATTGTGGAATAATAAGTTAGGGCATAATTGGAAAGAAAAATAGGAAACAATCCCACCACACCAAATCGGTTGTTTCAAAAAAAGAGACTTTTCATTGTTCCGAAACAATGGATTTAACAATACAATACAACCAATTTTAATGAAACAATCAAAACAAACATTGTTTTGCAATAACAATACAATACGATACAACGAGGAACAACTATCCAAACAAGCTGTAAATGAAAATGGCAGTTCAAGCTTCAAACTAGAATTTAAGAAAAAACTGAAGAATAGTCCAAGTACCAGGAAAAGGGAAGTTCCTGGCGAAGTCGAAGAACATGTCTGCAGACCCAATTAAGAGTACCAGAATTTAGCCCCAATTGATTCCTACTAAATGAAAGTACTTACCAGTAAACGTAACAGTCGGCTGCAAGAGAGTAAGGGTAGAAGTCATTGCTAAAACTGCAGTATTCCAGCGAGTCTTTTTACTTTGGATTTGAAATATTGCTGCTGCAAGGATACATGATTCGTGAATGGTGTATTTCTTTGGTAAGGAAAAGGATGAAAATCAAAGTTTGACAAAAATTACATTTCGGTTCCTCTAGAATTCAAGATTTGTACTTTCAGCTAAATGGTCTAATGGCCCCTTAAACTTGAACCAATTTGTCAGGCCGAAATCAAACCTATTTTTTTTTTCATTTGAATACCTCTACTTGATAAAAAGGCAATAATAAGCACCTCAAGCTGAGCGTGTTCCTCAGCTGCTCTAACATAATTGACACATCTAACATCATATTGTTCGTCTATTATTGTTGGAAGTATAATTTATGGGTCATAATCGTTTTTAACCATTTTATCAAATTTCTAGGGAAAAATCCTTTATGTTCTTCTTCGGCAGCCACCATCACGAAAATTTCTTCCACCATGAACACACTATTTGTAAAACTGTGTTGATCAAGAAAAAAAAAAATTAGAAAACACAAGGTTAGAACAGAAAAATGTAAAATTATTCCGAGCCCACAATCTTTTTGTGTGTCCTAAAGAAATTTAATTCCCTCGTTATCAAAGACGGACCCAGAATTCAAGCATGACGGGGGCACCATTGCCTTAAGCGTGCCAATTAATAGTGATAAAGTTGGGCTTGTAAGGGCATCTCCAAGTGTATTATTTTTTGCACCAAATCTAAATTTGATGTAAATTTGGTATTTTTTTTGCTCCAGTGGAACACCAAATCTTGCACCATTATAGTGCGTGAATAGTGTCGCACCAAATTTGGTGTGACACTATTCATTAACGCCAAATTTGATTTAATATTATTTTATTCATCTTTTTATTTTTTTGAACTTTTAATTTATCATATATTGTGTATATAATTAATTTTTATATTATGATCTTTATAATTTTAATTTTATATCCTATTTTTTTGATATATTAATTTTTGTATATATTATATTTA